ATTCGGCTCCGGATTCGACTACTGAAAACAGCGCCAAGAAAGCTGCTTCCGCGGCCAGTTTAACAATCTGCCACGCGATGCCGACTGATCTGCGCTTATGGCCGCCGAGGTTCATGGAGTACCAGCAAATGATAATTGGCATGGCACTGTATGCGCCGGACGTAATCAAGAACAGGGCCCCATATTGAAGCGCACCGTTAGCCTCACCGTGGACATTAAGGAGGATGGCAAATCCCGCAATCGCTATGCAAATAGGGATGAGCGTGAAGGCGAAACGGTTACGCAGGCGGTCGGATAGGTATGCGACTGTAAGAGAGACGCCGAAGGCCGCGGCCCATGGAGGGATGGAGTAAAGTTGGGTTTGAATGGCTGTGAGCAGGTGGGGTTAGATTGCTTGTATTGAACAAAATGCTCTGATCGACATTTGTGTGTCAGGGCAACGAAATGAACGAAATGCGGCTACTTACGCCCATAACCAAATGTCCTGATAATGGTGGGAGCGAAGTAAGCGTATCCTATTATCATAAGAGGTTGGTTAATTTATGTAAATAGGAAAATGATTGGTGATGGAAAAGAGGGGCGTTAGTTACCGTAAGCAGGCACAATCAGGCCGAAGTACATAAGTCCTCCAACAAAGATCTTATCTGCGACGGCATTAGCATCGCAATTATCAGGATGTATGTTATATCCCGGACGAATTACGTACAGTCCTTGAAGACATCAAGCACGTCTTTCCAACGCAGCGAGACCTCATGGCCCGCAGCACCAACATCCTTGGCAAGTTTGCCCCGAATGAAAGCCCGTTCTTCTTTGTTTAACCATTTCGCTTCTTCTGGGAAGCCAGGTATCACGAAGAAAAATGCAAAGGAGACGATACATGTTATCAGCCCTTCCAGGATGAAAATCCACCGCCATCCAAGAAAACCACGCACACCATCCAACCTTCCAATAGCGCTTGCGAGCAAGCCTCCGAAGGCACCGGCAAGAGTAGTGGAGCTGAAGAAGAAACTGAACCGTTTCTGGGCTTCAGTACGCCGGTACCACATCCCAAGGAGGTAGAAGCCTTTTAATAAGTTAGCCTCGTCACCGTCCATGAGGGTCCTTGGAATAGAAACAAGGGGTCAAATTCATCATCTACAACGCAATAACATACATCCTGGAAACATGCCAGTTTCCAATAAGCCAAGCAAAAATCGTGTGACTAGGAGACCTGCATAGTTTTGTACTAAACCCTGGCAAAGAGTAACAAGCCCGAAGCCAAACATGCATCCCGACACTATAATATACAAGAGTTAGTCAATCATGAAATATGGAAGAATTTAAGCTTGAATGGAAACCTACGCCAAACGTGAGGCTTCAATTTCTTCAGTAGAATATTTGATGGGATCTAAAGCCGTAATTAGATTAACTGGGTTCCCAGAAGGGGACAGGGACCAACACATATTTCCACGAAAGCCAGTAGAATATTGTCATACTTACCTCAAATAAGATGTATGGGACAAAAAATATAGTCAGAGCGGTATTATATCTGTTGCCTGATTCAATACCAAGATCCTTCCTCAGTCCAAATATGACAGCATTGCTGATATTGACACTGCATGCGACCGAGCCGTCAGCTTTCTCTTGTCCCGTAGAGTGTATAGCCGCATTCAAAGTGTGTAGCTCCCTAAGAGCCTGTGAAACTTACCGGTCCAAGAACGCAAGCAGATAGAGCACACAGAGCACGGGGAGCAGGTGCAGATCGATTTTGGCCATTAACCGTCTTTCTGTGGTGCTTACGAGAGTGGCATCGAAGCCATCCTCCTGCGCGGCGACGGAAGAGGCTCCGGACTCCACATCTTCTATGAATCAGAATTAACACAATTGAAGTGATATAGAACAGGCGACCGCAATGGCTTCAAGGATGTACCTTTACTCTCCTGGATCATTCTCCGTTTCCACGTGTTGTCTCAGGTATCGATCCGTTCCAGCTGCTTGCGTCCGTTGCCAAGGATTCTAGAGGGAGGAGGTGATATTAAACAATGACTGGACCAAGTGAAGTAAGTTGTTTCCGGGAGCAGAAACGAGGAAACACAGGGGAAAGAAAGCAACGAAATATCGACAGATGCTTCAGGAAGGAAGCGGCTAGGGCGTAATATATGTATGGAAGCTGAAAAGAATGGGGTCCGAACAACCTGAGAATTAAATTAAACGCACAGCGTGCAAACCAAGATTCGAACGCTGAAAATTGCACAAAGCCACGCCGCTAGAGAAGCTTGTGCCACAGACGGCGAGCTGAGGAGCAGAGCTGATTCGACCGTGGTGGCCGATCTCGAACGTCTTATCCTTGGGCGGAGCCGAATTGGTGGGCGCAGCGGTTTTCAACATGTGTAATTCTTTACATGTACATGTATGTACCACCCGTGGACGGTCCATGGTTCAACCCGTGTCGTGGTCCTGTGACACATTGATGCCCTCTTGGAAAATAAAAACTTGCTCGAAGTCATTATTGGCTCTATCTGGCTCATGCTAGAAGTCCGCCACTTCCCCGCGTTCTCTAAACTATCAATGCTCCGCCTACGCTATTGGGGCAGCAGCGGGTTATTGCTGTTTATTTTCTCGTCAATTAACGATAATGACAATAATAACAATGTGAGAGAGGAGACTGCGAGAGGGAACAAGGAAAACAGTCACGGTTGATTTGTCAGGAGTCCCTAATGTTGCGCAACTACTACCTACAAAAGCGCCTAGGGACATACTCTCCGACCTGGCTAGATCGCTAAATTAGTCACATTTTCCCGTTCTCAACGTTGTTGGTATTTACACAGCCAACATCAGAACTCTAACGTGTGGAATGGACCCTTATCCAGCCTTGAAGAAAGCACGCAAGCGAAATTGAGGGGAAGTTCCCTGAACCAGACGGCCTTCGCAGGGCCAGAGGGATCACATTGGCAACAAAATGAGATGAGATACGCAGAATTTAACTGGACTGATTCCATCAAAAGATTTTGTCGAGGAACGGACGCTTTAAATAAGGTTTTATGCTTAAAAATTATCCTCGCTGAAATCTCTAATGCCAAGATATCCCATTCGTCTCTAGCCTCGGGTAGCTCACGCCACGAATTTTATTTCACAGTGGTATTTCCTGTGATACTTCCATACGTTATGATATGCTATAAATGAATAGTTAAGTAAATTGTACCCGTAGGGGTTATTATACCCAATTAGACAGTTTCCAACGTGAGTTAATTGGGGCGATACCAAGATACAAAGAAAGAAGATGGAGCGAAGCAAAACAAAAAGACATAGGAAAGTGATGCATAACAAAAAGAACAAAAAAAGGAGGCCTAGCTATCTAAGTCGCATAGAAGGGAAAAATCTGGGGCCGGCAAAGCCGTGGACAACTACGCTCTGAATGTCAATGTTACCTCCGCTAAATGGACTCCACAGCTTGATAAGGATGAACTTTCCCGATCTGTATATCAACTCGTCAGTATAAGATGTGGATAGCGAGACGGCAAATGACGCCTATAAGATAGGGATTGGGCACGAAATTTTTACATACACAGGTGGGTCAAATTTGATGCTAACCATACTCTTCTCCTTTTTAATAAAGAAACGTGCGTGTGGTTTCATGATTTCCGGATCAGAGGCGGTTGGCTCACTTCCATCAGTCAAGGCGCCTCTGTTCCGGAATGTTGATGAGGGTTCAATTAGACTAGGGACTAGCCGTCGGCTTCTCCCGCCGTCAAGACTGCCAATTGCTTCTATATCATTAACAGCCCGCCTCATTCGTCGTCGAAATTGACGTTGTTCTCCATTTAGCAAACCGTTGATCCACTCAGAAGCTTCATCGCTATCGACGTCCAAATCCGGGCAACGCATTTCGGACTCGATTTGGTCCATACGCATTCTGTCAACGTCGGTCGATGAAGGCGCCTCGTCAGGATCTTCATCATTAATATCATCGTCGGATTTATCATCAAAGTGGGTCGTAATGCGGAAGTCAGAAGAGGAGCTGCGATAAACAATAGGTCTAGAGTCGAAAGACGAAGGGGTGAGCTCATTCTCCGAGTCGGACCAAGTTCCTGGCCCTGACACTGCTGGCCTTTCCAGAGATCGTAAGGGTGATCTTGCTGAAGACAGATATCGATGGGAAAAACTACCTCTTGGGTGTCGTCGTCGACGAGGTCTGAGAGGTGATGAGGAGTAAACAATCTGATATTGGGCGGTGCGTTCCAGGAATTCATCTAGCGCCATTGAGACAAATATCATCCCTTCTTGGATACTAAAACAGATGTGTATCAGTGGATATTTTGCGGTTAATTACTTTTTTTTATTGGGCTGGGTTGAAATCACTTACGGAGCATCAAATCCTGATTTTGGAGCTTTAATAACGATCTTTTGTAGGCAAAATGGGGTCTCCCCGTGGTGGCGAAGAATTAAATTGCACCGGTCATTTTTTGTGCAATACACTGAAGAGTCGTTAAGCAGAACGTTTTCCGGATATGAATTTTCACCAGACGCTTCGTATGTTCCTCCGTCACAGCTGACGATCTCCATCTCTAAAGTTCCCGGAACAACTTCACCGTAGTGCCCGTATCTAAACCGACAGATTCCCTCCCGCTTATCATCAGAGTCCAATTTACGCCGTTTATGTCTCCATCGACCGTGCCGGGCCTTCAGTGGGAGGACCCTGGGCTGCCAAAGTTGAAGACTCAACTGGCGAGGCAGCGTCGCCAAACCAGATCCCAAAGAGAGCCCAGGTCCCGAAAGACGTGCCGCGACACGTCTTGGCTATCCAGTTCGCTATGGTCTGCGTTTATCCGGTTGTCACCATCCCTTGGGCCCATTATCACGTTTAATCGATCCACCGCATCGACCCGGGAGCGCCGTTGTCCCGTTGTAGAGGAGTATCGGTCCAGAACAGCCCCAGACCGGGTTGTTGCAGGAACAGGATTCTCCGCTGGTGACCCCCTTTCAAATCCTATTCGCTCTCCCGTGTCAGTAGCGTCAGCCTCAGCGCGGCGATCAGCCACGTCATCCAAGGCTTGCAATTCGCGCCGAAGAACGTTATAGGTGTATTCGCGGACAGGATCGCTCCAGTGGGACATGCGAGCGTCAAGTAGGTTCTGCAAATGGTGCAGTCGTGTGTTCAAACGCATGCGGTACTGTGCACGATCTGCGGGGTTTCTAGGTTGATTATTGCGATCAGAGGCCGCGGGGAGATCAAAGTTGCCGGACTACATAATAAATTAATTGTTGGATCAAGGGTATTTCAATAGTAGAGTATTTTTTTTTTAACTCTTTGGCAACATCAAAAATAAAAATCGGCATGTATTCGCAGAGGGGCACCGCGGCCCACCTACCATTGTGGGGAAAGCCAGCTGAATGGAACAGCAAATCGTTGAGTCGTAACTGAATATCGGACACGGAAGGTGAATGAGTAGTGTTTGCGATGATTAAATCCCAGGTTGGAGATACTAGTGGGTTAGGGCGAACAGCTCGTGGTGCGGACAAAAATTCCATTAGATGTGAAGTGGAGAATTACGGGTTCCGTATCTCTAACATGGATACGACACAGTGCGATTTGCTCATGTCACAATCGCGTGGGCGTGGCCAGAGCCGGTGGGAATGGAATGGTGGATGGAGATAGACACCGACCTCGCGGTTGATGGAAGAGTGACAGGTCAGCCTCATCTCGCACGGCGATTAGGCGGACAAGGTTGCCGGTGCACGGGCCAATCACCAGGCTCACGTCAGCAGATCAGCCCTGTCGCCGTGTAGTCGCCTCGTCCACGTGACAAGTTTCAACATCAACTTTTTGGACATTGGGGAAACTCAACAACACAACCAGCACACGCTTTCCAGTCCGCAGGACTAATGCGCTTGCTGGCACCTTCCATTGTTACAATAGGCATATCCTGACTTTGGCCAAAGCGCAAATTCATTGATCTTCAAAAATTTAAACTTTTCTTTGGTTCTCTGGTAGTAGCTTTCATGTTCTTCTCAACTTGTATGGAAACCCCCTCTCCTCTTATATGTAATTCAATCAACCTGATTTTTATGGTTTCAATTGTGTAGGACTCTCTCACAATTTGAAGTTCTATACTTGTACACTATGACATCAGATAATGCA